TGGGGTTATCCGGTCCTTTAATTTGTTGTTCGGGCTCTTCTAGTTGGCGCGCTTGAGCCCAAGACCTCCTGAGGTCTCAGAGGGCTGTAGTTTAGGGTTTAGGGTTTAGGGTTTAGGGTTTAGGGTTTAGGGTTTAGGGTTTAAGGGGAGGGGCATGTAACGAGAAGCCTCGCCGTTTCCACGAACTCAACTACAGCACAGAGCCCCAAACTCCATCAACCCTGAACCCTGAACCCTAAACCTTAAACCCTAAACCCTAAAACCTCAACCCTAAACCTTGAACGCTAAAACCTGAACCCCAAGCCGTAAACTCAGAGCCCTAAAGCCTAACACCTGAACACTAAAACCGGAACCCTAAACCCTGAACGCTAACACCTGAACCCAAAGCCCTAAACTCAAAACCCCAAACTCAAAACCGTAAACTCTAAGCCCTAAACCCTAAAACCTGAACCCTGAGCCCTAAACTCAAAACCCTGAACCCTAAGCCCTAAGCCCTAAACTCAAAACCCTGAACCCTGAACCCTAAACCCTGAGCCCTCAACCCTAAACCCGAAACCCTAAACCCTAAACCCTAAAACCCTAAAACCTGAACCCCAAACCGAGAAGGCTCCATGTTCATCAGCAGGCCCCGCGCATCCGGCGCCAGGAGGTCCTTCGGGCTCTCGAGCTGAGGAGGTTCGTTCCAAGGGTTTTTGGGGTTTTGGGGGTTTTAGGGCTTAGGGGGTTTTGGGGTTTTGGGGCTTTTGGGGTTCAGGGGTTTGGGTTTAGGGTTTTGGGGCTTAGGGGGTTTTGGGGTTTTGGGGTTGTGGGGTTTTGGGGTTAGGGTTTAGGGTTTAGGGTTTAGGGTTTTGGGGTTTGGGTTTAGGGTTTTGTGGTTTACGGTTTTGGGGTTTAGGGTATGCCTGCCATTCCGCAGCCTGTCAGTGCCGAGCAGCCCGCAACACTGGCTTGAGTCAGGACCCTGAGTCTTAGAGTAAGGGTTTAGGGTTTAGGGTTTAGGGTCTATAGCACGTACGACTTGTCGAAGAACCGAACAACTCCCAGTGAGAGACAGCCGCTCTACCCACATGCCTAGCAAACATTCAGTGGAAGGAAGCCTGGTTCCAATATCCACGATGCGAAAGCCGGAACTTCAGAGCCTGCACCTTAAAAGCCACTCTTAATCCTGAAATCCACGGATAAGATTCCGAACCCCAACTCCTAACACTCCAAACCCAAGAGACCTTAGATCCTCAGCCCTCTATCGTAAACCCGTCACCCTAACTCCTCCTAAGCCGAAACTCTGAACCCTAAAACCCTTAAACCCTGAAAGCCTAAACCCTAAAACCCTAAAGCCTTAAACCCTAAAACCCCCAAAACCTTGAACCCTGAAGCCCGAAACCCTCAAACCTTAAACTCTCAACCCCAACATCTTGAACCCTGAACCCTAAAACCTTGTAAAACCTGAACCTCTCAACCCCAACACCTTAGACCCTGAAAGCCTAAAACCTTAAACCCTGAACCCCTAAAACCTTAAACCCCGAAACCCTGAACCCTAAAACCTTAAGCCCTGAAACCCTGAAGCCCTAAAACCTTACGCTCTTCTTCCCAACACCGGGGTCCAAGGTCTAAACCGTACCTTAACCCAAACCCTGAACCCCTGAACCCCTAAAACCTTAAACTCTAAACTCCAAACCCT